TATTAACGAGTACACACACACGACACACACACAACACACACGACCAACACACACACACACCACCACACACACCACACACACGATCTATGCACCACACCACCACACACAACACTCTAACACCACACCGACACACACTATCGACACCGACACGACACGACACACGACTACACATACACAACACAGACAGGTGAGCAATTCACATATAACACCCACCCACTTAAAAAGCCGTTGAGCGTATGTAATTTCAACAGCACAATGTCGGGCCCAGCTTAACAATATCACACTTCACGTCTACAAAAGAAACACACAACGGGATATATATGGCACTGTGTACAAAATTACGAACGTTAAATCTCACGTCTTTCACATGTATACCCTAGAACGACAACTATCTTATTTGTATAAATGTCTATACAATCTCCTCACAAACCAACTCACCACAACATAACACACCACACCACAAATCTAACATATAAGGTAAAATGGGTATCCATTCTCTTTACATCTCTTATCGTTCCTTTTCGAATTGTCGACGCGACGGGAAGAAACTAAGCCGAAGTAGTCCATTCTTTCAAGGGAGTTGCCCACACACACTTAGACAGTCCACTCAGAGCTGTCTATAAAACAGAAGACTATCAAACTAACAATTCGACTCACCATGTTCAACTTAATACTAAAAGTGGAATAAAATTAAAAATTGGTTCGTTGTGTTTGTATTTTTACTAAAACATCATTCGTAAATGCTCGCAATCAGTACAATACCACCTGAACAATGTATTACTTGGGAGAAATTAAACCATATCATAAAAGAGAGATGTTCCATCATAGATTTGCCAATATATTACCAATACAATACGATTGGTGTTTCCGAAGTAGGAGTACATGAATTATCGATAGAGATTCGTATCTCTTATGCTATTTCCTCACCTGTTTATTCTGAATTTTCTTTGCTCATCTCATATAAGTTCGTCCACTGGATACGTCACTAACTGTTACTGTATACAGTCTACACCAACTTAAATAAGCATTTAATATACCTACACATACATTCAGAAATGATACATACCTAATCCGTGTACCAAATACACACAGGTTCTAAGATGCATTGTGCTCGTATAGAACAATTAAGGAATTATTACATAAAAAGTTATATCGTTTCTTGTTATGTATTGGCTCGGATAAGTTAGTTGTACGAACGACTATATTATTACGGGCTTGTTCCCGACTAATATATAGTTTTACAACAAATATAGATATATCTTTTCCATTGTCTTCCATGGAGCCTGCTACTGGAGAGCAGTTCAACCCGTGATGCAGTGACGGTAGGAAGGCGGTGGGAGTGTGGACGGTGCTGTTGGCACAGAAGTCGTTTAAGATTGTGAGATTATTACTTGACGGGACAGCTGTTACACTACTTCCGTACCAGTAACGCCACCCGACCATACGACTACACCCCCACTCCAGACATCACACACATACCCATACACAACACACCCACTCCCGACATCGATTCCCTCTTTAGAGGATTAATTTTTTTGGCAAGAATATTCACAAAGACTCCCGCAGGAGGGGGGGCGACACACCAACACCGCTACCCAAAGACCCAATACACACTACGATCCATCACATAAAACGCTCCTACACTCAGTACTACCGATCGCCCTTTGTGTCACAGTCCTATCGAGGCTCAAGACATGCCCGTACATGCAAAGCTCTCTGACTTTTCTTCTGCTCACCAAACGATGATCCCCTGTTGTATGATTCTGTAAGTTGCTCCCTAACAGACCACTACGTGGTGGGCACGGGCTGTTTTGATATACCCTCACCAAAGTCAGAGTTTAACGAGGGACACTTTAAAACATGTCTTAAACACCCAACAAATTTCTTATCTCGTCGCAACTGTAGTCAGGGTCACAGACAATTTCAATCCGTTACAGACATTACAACATCCTCCTACATCAGAACACTACCTGAGCATGGCTGTCTATCATGGACAAAGGCATTATTCTTCATTTGAGTCCCTAAACCCCGTTTCTTTAATGAGGCAGAAAGAAAAATAATGCTCGTCTTTCTTTCTTTCTACTCCATCTATAAATGTATCTACCTTTTTAATATTCCCTTTAAAATCCTATTACATCAGGGTGATTCCTGCTCTGTATTCTAGTGGAGCAGAATGGACTGTACTTATATAGCGCTTTATCCAGTCTTTACGACCCCTCAAAGCGCTTTACATACTACATGTCATTCACCCATTCACACCCATTCATACAGAGCAGTGTACCTTACTCTAGGACCTAACATTCACACACATTCACACACCGTTGGCCATGCCATCGGGAGCAACTCAGGGTTAAGTATCTTGCCCCAGGATACATCGACATGTTGACTGCATGGGCTGGGATCGAACCCACAACCTTCTGGTTGAAAGACGACCACACTCCCTCACAGCCACAGTCGCCCTACTGTGTGTGTGTGTGTGTGTTTGAGTTGTGCTGCCTGATGTACTGAGAGGTGACAAGATTGACATATCTATGTAATCACATTAATTATGTGCATCTGTGCTGCAGGCCTCAGGCCCCCTCAGTCTGAGGACTGCAGCGGGCCAAGTCAGGCAGCCATAACTGTGGTTGCTATAGAAACCGGGATTTGTGTGCCTTGTGTGTGTGTGAGGGACACAGACATGCCCTACAGACCGGGCCAGCCTGGTCTCAGGGGAGCAGACCAGACATGACCCCAGTGAGAGCCTCTATCATTTGGGAGACACGGAGGAGGCTCCTCTCTGCTGGTCGCTGAAATGCTCCATAAGGAAACAGTCTGGCAGGGTGACTGTGAGAAATCCAGCTGTGGAAACGAGCCTCTTTGTGCCCAATGTATTTCATTTGAAGACATAAAGGTCTACAATGCTTTTAAGTTGTCCATTCTTGTTCCTCTCGTTCCAGGGCTGCGTACTGAGCAGCCTGACATGATAATGAGGGAGTGTGTGTTCAGAAGATGGAACAGAGGTGAATGCCACTAAATAAATGAACACATGAAAGCTTGATAGCCGGATGGTGTTTTATGTGTGCTCAGATTAAATGAAAACTGTGGCAACAAAGTCCCATTTTTTCGGGGAGAGATGATAAACATGAATTCCCCTTGAAGACAAAAAGCAGGTTAAACGTAAAAATCAAACCATATTTATTTTCAAAAGAATCACTACTAATGTCAAATACACATATTTGTTGTATTTTTCCTGCATTGTATTGTTGTTTTTGTTCTATTAGAGGCATTCGGCAAACATCAGAATACTGATCATTTGGTTCTTCATGCTGATATTTATCCGCATACATTTTTTAAAGGACTAATTCCACTGCAGCTCTCTCGAACTTGGAGACCTCCACCAGTAAATCGTGCACAGTTTGTCACGATGTTTTTGTTAAATGTCTTTACGGTGAACCACTGAACCTGTGTCTTGTCAAAGAGATTCATTAGATAATGAATTGCCTATACTTTAGGCTGGTAGTCTCTGGTTTGCACTTTCTCATTCAAATCTAAATCGTGGAAATAAGACGACCCCTTGTGGACAGTAACTGCAAATCCATTCAAACCAAAGTTCTGGGTATATTTTTTCATTTGCAGAACAAAACTATAACACACATAAATCCAGTGCACAAAAATCCAGTGCAAAGTAATTTTACAGATAAAATGAAAACAAACATACCTCAATAATACAAAAAAATGAAAACATGTCTATGACTCATTCATTATATATTTGTAAATATTACAGTAAAGCTCAATAATATTAACTATAGGCACTAACTAAATATAGCCCTTCAGCGATCTTTACTTACTTTAATTAAATTAGACCCAATATAGATATATAGAAACACATGATGTCTTTGGCTGCTGCAGCATTTGATTGTAATGCATAGGGACACTATTTAAACACTTTGGTCTTTAGTTGAAGTAGACTGCCATTATTCCATTGATGGGGTGAAGTTATAGTATAAAACTAGAATTATTTGGAGGAAAATACAACTAAAACTTAGCTTATTCACATTTACAGTCTCAACATAGACAATTTTTAAACTCAAGGAAAACATAATTTAAGTCCCTGAGAGACACCCAGAGTAAGGATAGGTTTATATTTGAAGCAATACCTGCATGTGATTTCTGTCTTCAGATCTCTGCAGCCGCCAATTGGTCAAATTGTAGACTGCAGTTCAAATAGATAGTTTTTGCTCGCGTTTCTTATATTAGAATATCAATAAAAGGGGAATTTCTAACATCCATACTGGAGGAACAATTTCATAAACAATTTTAGTGTGCGAATGGGATTGTAAGAATTGTTTGAAACATACTTATTGTCATCATCCCTTAAAATGTCCCTGTGTATTTAAAAAAGAGGTCAAGGCTGAAGTAATGGGTGAACAGTTTTTCTGTGGGGTGACCATGTCAGTGATTTTGGGTTAAAAGCGCAAACATTAAAGCTTATACAAGAGGGGCATAAGGTGTAAAGATATATTTTACACAGACTAAGCTCTTTCTTCTGGCTACTGTGATGAATCATTTCTCTAATGCGTTTGCCTGAAATAATTACATGAAGGCAGTGCTGTGTAATTTTACAGCTAATTTCCAATTCTCACACCCAGCTTCAGTCAAACACAGTTTTGGAGTAAACTCAGCTGGTCCCGCTGAACCTAACTTCAACAAAGTCACAGAAAACCAAAAAAAATAATATATTTTTGATTCATACTAGCTCCACACAGAAAACTAAAACTAACCAAACCAAAATCAAAATGTCTGTATGCATCTGTCTCCTCGTGGCATCAATCAAGTGACGCAGAAAAAAAGATTCTCTATCGGCCCGGAGAGACCAGCTCTGAGTGAGGAGACAAAGAGAAGCGGTCCTCTCTGGGATGAAGGGGACACATCGACCCCACCTCGCTACCTTCTGGGTTATATGTGTGTGTGTGTGTGTGTGTGTGTGTGTGTGTGTGTGTGTGTGTGTGTGTGTGTGTGTGTGTGTGTGTGTGTGTGTGTGTGTGTGTGTGTGTGTGTGTGTGTGTGTGTGTGTGTGTGGACAGGATGTGATGGAAGATAGCTGATTGGATGGGAGATGGTGTTAGACAGCAGATAGCTATCTCTGCCACCCATCACTTATCTCTAATTGCCTGAGCGGCTGCCCTCCTTCCTCTCCATCTTGTGGGTATCCGGCTTTGAGAAACTCTTTCGTCTCATTGGCCGGGCGGGCTTCTTGAGGGGTTTGGCGAACTGAATCGGGGTTGCTGATTGGAGAGTGCTGCCTGAGGTGGTGCAGAGGAGGGGAGGTGGGTGAGGACATGTGCTCCGGAGAGCTACGCTCCAACTTGATACTGAGGTTGAGGGAGGGCTGATGTGGAGAGGTGGAGGGGCAAGACTGAGAGGGGAAGGAGCACCCCCCACTGGACATCCTGGAAACAACAAGACACAACAAATGTCAGAGTTGAAACATCGATTCTGCAATTGTATCAGATGACAATTGATTGCATTTTAATTTCCTATTTACCTCCCTATATTTTTTTTCATTAATTTATTTTGATTATGTTGTTTTTTTCATATGTTTTTCACTTTTTTGTTTATTTTTTTCTTACTGGTGGCCATATTGTTTACCATTGTGTGGTCACAGCAGAACGCATTATTTTATGATTACTTAGTTACTACATACTGTATGGTTGCCTTGGGCTGATTGACATCATATTGAGATGTGTATATTAAATGTGATGTTTGTGTAATTTTGCACAAGAATGATGATCTGATTGGTCTAAAGATTGGACAGAAAACAAGTAAATAAAAAATCTTTATCAGAGCAAAAAGGACAGTGTGCCGATTCAACCTCCTGCCATATTTTATCCTCAGAGTCAAAGAGGTACCATATCATGCATTAATATCCTCACCCTGGGTTTATATGGGGCTCCTGAGGCGACTGCCAGGGGTTCACTGATCCTCGCTGCAGACTGACGGAGTGATAAAAACCAGGTTGGCTGTACTCTGAAAAGAGAGGTAGGAATTAAAAGATGATGAAAAGGAGGACACAGGTATGGATTATAATAAACCAAGATCAGTGAATGACAGGATAGTATATTTTCACTATAAGAAAATGTTTCAACGTTTAAAGAAATACAGGTTTGTAGAGAGTCAGAAGAGAAGATTGACACTTAGCAGGTTGTCTTAGATTGGCATAAATACTGGAACATGGGGAATTCGGTAGCTTAGAATGTGCATAACCTGGTAATTATTATATATTTCAATTAAATCATTTGTTTAATCAATTCGATCTGCGGTTATGCGCAGGGACATTTATTTTATTTGGACGAATGTAGTAACTCCTGGTTGGTGAAATCACTGTGAAGTTTGGTGTCAACAAGTGGAGATTTGAAGAGCTCACAGCAGCCGATAAAGAATAGTCCTGCACAAAACTCCTGGTAAAACCACAACTTTTGGTAAACCCACAACTTTTATGTTTTGTATATGTGCTGGTAGGCAGATTTGGTATCTTTTGGACAGATCCAGGCTAGCTGATTCCCCTGTTTACAGTGTTTATGCTAAGCTAAGCTACAGAGTTGCTGGCTGTAGCTTGACCTTTAACAGACACATATGAGGGTGCATCAATCCTCTCATCTAGCTCTAACCAATTAAAGCAACCACCATAGAATAGATGATTCACAGAAGACGTACCAGAGACCCCCGGAGAAGGGAGGCCATACCCTCCCAAACTGTGACCCAGCAGGCCTGCCTTGCCCATGGTTACCATGGAGCTGCCGCTGTGCAGGCCCTGGTACAAGACGCCCCTCTGACCAACAGGGAAAGAGAAGAGTCAAACCAAAAATCTCAAGTCTCTGGGGAGAGGGACAGCATGACACATTTACTGTAAGTGCAGGCTGGATAGTAACAGCTTCTTACAGAAGAGTTGTGGTTCGCTCTCGTGGCCCCCAGCCCCACGTTAGCAGCATCACCCCGCAGGTTGTCACTGCCCAGGTTCACAGGAGGAGGGCTCTTCATGTCCAGAGCTCGATTCAGGTTACCATGGGAGAACACGGAGTAGCCGATACCTATACGGCGAAAGAAAGGAGCAGGAAGTGAAAAGAGATGTGATCTTGTTTCACTCACAGAAGAATAATTTATTCTCTGTTATACATTCTTCCCCCCCCCCCGCTCTGTTCCTGTCACCAAAAGTGTGATAAAAATTAACTTCTTCTTTTAGTTTGAGCTTAAAATTGGAATCTGATCTTTTATAAGACTAAGGCTTATGTTAACGTTTGAATATATTATTAATGCATTGATGACTTGACAGAATCCATTGCTAAGCAATCGCAGAAATCAGTGTCATATATTAAAATAAACAGAAATAATACATCTTAAAACACAAAGGCTGTTAATGATCGGTGTCTAATGTGAATCACGGTGTTAGCTATGAGTGTTAGTATTAAAAGAGGCTGTAATGACTGGCAGGTGTGATACGTTCTGTACAGAAACTACAGAACTGGATGCAGCCGCTGGTGTAGGGCCAGTTTCATAAAACAGACCAACTGCACGTGTGTCATAGTGTGCATACACACACTCAAACACGCACACACACACTTCCTGTGTGATCCCAGCCAGCTGTGCAGTGTTTGACAGCTCACATAAGAATTGCACAGCAAGCTTTGAACAAGACTTAAAGGAGCTTTAAATCAATGACCATGCTTTCTACTTTTTTGGTGGAAATGATAATATGTTAAACATTTTATTATTAAGTTAGATATTGACAATTTGAAAATCAATGGCTGTGAACTGCAATTTTTTTATATAGAAAACATTTTTTCCTTTCATTTGAGAGTTTCATTTGAATAACATCGATCCTTTTTTCCCACATTTTTCACATCATTTAAATGTAATTTTGTAATTAAACTCTTTAATCAGTCAGTCACAAAGAAGTAAGATTGTGGAATTGTAAATGAGTATAATTGCATTAATCATTTGGTTGTCCTTCAAATCTTCAACCTTGTTATTAAAATCATTCTGTAATGTTACATAGCACTCTGCTCACCTGAGTGTGGAGACATGAATGCAGTGTGTGCGTGCGGCACAGCAGGACTGGCAGCGCCCGGTCTGCAGCCCAGAGATTTAAAGCCAGAGGGTCTGTGGGACGCCATGCCGGATCCAGAGGAGTTAGGAAAGCCGTTCTCACAGCCTGCAGACACCAGAAACTGGGCCTCCGGGGAGAGGAGCGACGGAGCCTGGAGAATAACAACCATGTATAAAAACAGCAAAAAGAATTAAGATCAAAAACCTGTCCAAGAATTAGGAAAAGTATCAATATCTTATTGTATCTTTGGACATTTTACCTTTTTTTTTTCATTAAAATTATAACAATTCACTTCAACCACAGATCACCTCAGCATGTGTGTGTGTGTGTGTGTGTGTGTGTGTGTGTGTGTGTGTGTGTGTGTGTGTGTGTGTGTGTGTGTGTGTGTGTGTGTGTGTGTGTGTGTGTGTGTGTGTGTGTGTGTGTGTGTGTGTGTGTGTGTTTGTGTGTGTGTTTGTGGTGAATGTGCAATAGCAGAAGTGTGTGTGGACTGACATAGAAGCGTTGGCGAGCCACAGAGAGATCCATGCCCTCGCTGAGAGGATATCTGTCTGCAGCCACCTGCATGCTCTCTTCACTCTCCAGCTCTGAGGCTTCCAGACCGAGGCCTTTCCTGCGCAGAGTCTGAAACAGAAGAGAAAGTGCATGTGGAAAATGACCCACAATGTTATCCGGAAGGCTTAGAAAGGCAACATATAAAGGATTTTTGTATGAATTTGAAACCTGAATGTAATGTTAAAGCTCCCTCCTCTGAACCAATGTATTATTTTGTATTGAATCATGCTTCTCCGTCATCTCCTTTAATAGCAGCGTGAACAGTACCTCCAGTATGTCCGTGTTGGTGCGACTCTCGTGCGGCTCGCTGTACTCTGTGTACTTGAGAAGCACTTTGTCCATGTCTGTGCTGGCGTACTGGAACAGACGGTTGGTGCTGTTGAAGATGATCAGGGCGATCTCACAGTCACACAGCACACTCAGCTCGTACGCCTTCTTCATCAGACCAAACTTACGCTTGGTGAAAGTCACCTAAAAAAAACACACAGTGGTTGGGGTCATATTCCCTTTAACTTCAGCCAATTACTAAACATTAAGAGGAAGATGTCAAATGTAGGTTGTTAAATCAATCAAGTCAAATTGTCTAAATAATTTAGTACGCACGTGCTTAAATATGTCTGCAGGAATGAATAATAAATAGAGCCAGAGTGGGTTGTAGCAGAATGGACAAATTCAATCATAATAATAATATTTTTGTACAACTTGGATTCGCTGCCAGATAATAAGTGTTGTAAGATTAATAAATGTGATCTTGTATAAAAATAATACTTCTTAATTATAGTAGAAACAGCATGTTTGCTTTTTTAAATGGAAAAGATCCAAACTGATTGCTAGCAAATACTGAAGGTGTTGACAAGTGGGTATATTTATAGTGCCTAAAATCACAAGTTTGTCCATGAAGGGTTTACAATCTGTACAGCATACAGCAACTGTATATCATCAGAGCCTTAATACAGATAAGAAAAAAGTCCTCCTCAATAAACTATCCATATCACCAAAAGACATTCAGTCCTGAAGAGCAGATAAACATATTGTATTTGCCAGTACTCTGGGCAATATTTAATAAAATATTCTCCTTGTCTACACTGATTCATTGTGTGTGTTCGATATATACTAATGAACATGTGAACAGGCCACGTCTATGATATGATATTTACTGTCACATCGCGACATTACCTCAGTCTGTGGTGACTCATACACAGTCTGCAACTTCAGACCCTGACATTGACATTTCACACAGCATATATAATCTCCCTTATCAGATTCATCTTCCATTAAACCGATACAAAAAAAACTTCCTCTAATGTATAGTCGACTCTGTCTTTACACTTATTTAATAAGCTTTACACTTATTTTCAACTTCCATGTTACTCTGTTAAAGTGCTCGGTTTATTTTGTATAGTGTTAAACGAGCATAAGGGACATTACTGACATTTTAGCATTGAACAAAATCTCACTGTCACTGTAAGACTTTTCAGATTTTTGGAAATGTACAGGAAATGTTCAATTCTAATTCTTCACTCAATGTTGCATCAATGTGCAAGTTAGAGCATGCATGCTGCAAAAATTGTAAAAAAAAATGTTACATCATCCCATCTGATTGGTCCAGCTCCTGCACCCTCTTTGCACCATTAGGAACTAATTCATTTAATCAAGGGTCATAGGAACATTTGCTACATACAAAAAACAGGACATAATGCAACAGAACAAAAACCGAAGAAGTGCATTCCTGAATTGCTATTATTTTTAAATGTGCAAGAATGTATTTTCAGCTGTCCGAACACGCCTTGAAATTACCCGCTAAAAATATTACTGTTGCAGGCAAACTTTGTACATACGTCGTACATATATATAGAAAATCTTATGATAAATTAAATAATGCCCACCTGTCTATTTCTCTGGTCCAGAATACGAGAAATTTGTATTTTCTTTCTTCCCATTTTTTCTGCCTTTCTGCTGCACACTTTGACACCTGTAAAATAAAACATGACAACGTTAGAGTAGCAGAAATAAATATGTTATTATTCATCCGTAATTAACATCAACAAATACATCTGATTTCAAACACAACATAAAAAAATCCAATATGTTAAAAGGATTTCTTGAGGTTAACATTTGAACGCAATGGCAATTGAACTAACTTTTTATTCTTCTGCATGTATGCATCTACATTTTGAATATACAATAAGCCATAATACATGTCATAACATTCTTGTGAGAAAGTGGCATTCATTTGTTTTAAGCGACTCAAGTCCCTTTCCCCGTGGTAAGGGCAGGGTGTTTATTTATACCACCATGAGGCGATGCGGTCTAAAGTTAGAGCGGCCCTTGCCGGGCCAGCAGTCCACACAGTCTGACACCCCCGCAGTCTGGGTTACCCCTGGGCCAGCAGCACGACTCCACTGCACCGCACAGCCCCAAGAGACAGGGTTAAAAATACAGTCCACAGCTCCTTTTAAAGGTTCAGCGGGCAATAGCTAAAACCAAACAGTAAAAGGAAAACGGTGTGTTTTTGAATGATGGCTGAAGCTAGAAACCACCCACTCCTCTCTCATGCATGGTCAGAAAAAAACAAGCAGAAGGCAAAGACATGGATGGATTGTGGTTGGCTTGAGAATGTCCAACGCACAACCGCTGTTTTTTCCTTTTTTTTTTTGGTCTAAAAACCCCTGTCCCTGCCCCTGTAGGACCGTATAGAGCTGGACACTATAGAGAAATGTAAACTCAGCCTTTAGTTTTCTCTAAAATTGTTTGCATTATGGGAGACAGCCATAACACATTGATGCTAAATCATAAACACTAAACTTAAATGCATATTTGAATAATCTTTCTGGATTACTTGTGCACGCTACTGTTAGTAATACGACTACGCTAAGTGGTGGTCTGACTCCTCTGACCTGACAGTGCTTCTCCAAAGCCCAGAGCAGTTTTCACTGGTTTTCCCCCTAATACTGAACATGTATTGGACTTTTCTATATTTAGTCCCCTGTCCCTCCTGATGGTGCCTGAGCGGATATGGCTCCTGTGTTCCCACGACCCCTCAAGTGCCCGCTGTCCCTCAATGTAAGCTTGCCACACAGGCATCTGGGGCATTTTCGAGAGGAATCCACCTCTTTGCCCTAATTATTACCTTATAAAGTCCTGCATTATCCACTGTGCTGAATTTGCGGCAGAGACCAGACACACCTCAACACTGACAGCAGCAGATAAACCCATCATTGGCGCTGTCTGGACGGTAAAACAAGGCATGCTTAGGACAAATGCCTCAATGAAAGGACCACAAAAACCAGTATTGGTTGGACTTACTAACACTTTCAGCCACACTAAAAAATAATTAAAGTCACTCAAGGTCTGTCTCTCAGACATGAGACCATTTATCCTCATATCAAGGCCTGCTTATGGTGAGAAGAGAGGGAAGTGGGACATGTGTTCTAAACAGGGCAGAAAGATCTTTATCTCAGGGGTTTTGCAGAAAGTTCCTCTCCTACATCCAAACGACCACGATCACAGCCCCGTTAAAACACATGACTAGCTGTATAAATATAGCTACACCTCCAGCCAAACGTTGTGGAGTTAGCTATAGAACTGTATGTGGTTTAGTAGGTTTGTCGAAGGCCTAAATTTCGAGACAGGCAGGAAAAGGACTGGCTGAGCCTCACACATCAGCTAATTCTGGAGGATTTCCAACAGCACAACTGTCGTTTGAGGTCTGTGGATGCACCAAACACACCTTCTGTCCGTGACCTTTATCTCTAAGGTCAACACCTGATCGTGTCATCCCTGAAAACATTTGGAAAGTGAAAGGAGTATCAGATTTTTATTTTCTAAAACATGTCAGCTAGTGCTATGATAAGACATGGATGTAAAACAGAATCGCTTTGTGTCCTGTAATTGTGCAATAATTGCACAAATGAACACTTGCCCCTGGGTCTCAGGCCTCTATAGGGATAGATAAGACCTTTGTGAGACGCCTTCCCAGAGGCGAGAGAGTGGAAAAAACTGAGCTCAGACACACAGCAGCACACAGTCGCCCTGCAGCTTCACACCCTGGGAGCTTCTGGCTGATCACCGGGGAACTCACTGGGACAACAACGCACATGCAAAGAAAACTAAACGCTTGTGCATCAAAAGACATGATCACTTTAATAGGTTTAATCAGATCACGTTAATGCATTGCACTGGTGGGTTTTCTTGCTGCAGTGAACTGTACGCATGAATGAGAAGGGAAATAAGTCGGGCATTTAGAGTATTGGGGGTTCTGCTTCAACTGTTTTCTTTCCATGAGTCATTTAGGGCATGATGGCTTGATAATGTTTCAAAAACATGCTAAACACGTGTACGCAGATGAACCAAAGAAGCTAATGGCTTATGATAGAAAAGCAGATTCCTATAAGGGCCAATCACATTTTGTCCATCACAAAGGAATATTTGGAGTTTAGTTGTTGCATTGTAAAAAAAGTAAAAAAACAGTAACAATAAAAAATGTAGTTAACACTCTAAGTGTGTTTGTGAACCGCTGTGGTCCTGCTGCTGCTGTGAAATATTTGTTTCATATGTGTATTGATCATACAATGAAAGCAATCAAAGCAGAAGCAGTTTGACTGCTGCGCTACAGCGATATAATGAACTCTGCAGCAGCAACATTTGTGTGTATGACACATAACCGAGCCTTGTTTCTTCTGCTTAAGTCGTTTTAGTCATGCCTGTGTTAGTCACATCACAGTCCCGTGTTAAACTGGTAAAATGTGAAACCAGGACCAAAACTGGAACCTAATTTCACATGAAACAATACAGAATTCCTTCCAAACTCATGTCAGAAAAGCCAATTACCAAAGGTTGTGACAAATCAAAACTGACACATACTATAACAATAATAAGCCAATAGTGTAACTCTTCTTTTACTACTGAGTGTTTTGTTCAAAGCTAAGGAATATCATTTTTTATTAAAGCATCAATATATAATGATAAGTAAATAACGGGTGTTTCTATGTGTGTCATCTTCAGGGTCAGACAGTTCATTCACTCATTGGGTCTTTGCTGAGTAATGGTGAGGAAATATTTGTCTAATTTTACCAGCAGATAATTGAATTGCCTTGATATTACCAGAATAGCAATAGTACCAAGCAGAACATTGGATCTTTCTATGAATAGAAAGAAAAAAATGTTTTCATGACTTTTAAAAGTTGTTCCACTGAAGATGAACCACACCTTAAAGGGAACTGACAGAAGGAAACGTCTGCTCATTTGAGTGAAACACAGACAGACAATAAAGGAAATTCAAAAAGTGATATTTTGAATGATATCACACTCAAAAGATAACAATAATCCATGTATATTTTGAAGTGATCAGTGAAGTGATTGGAAAGGCAACAGGTTGAAGGGATAAGAAAGATGGAAGAGCCATGGGATGTCTCTATTAACAAATAATTCAGTATGCAAGGCAGGCTTTTTCACGCTCAAAATAAAAACTGTAAAAATACATAGCATAAAAAATGATACTGGATGATTAGGCCAGATAAATTGCTGACGTCATTCAAAATAGACCGTTTAAGAATAGCCTGTCTGTCTCCGAGTTGCCAAGCATCCCTGTCTAATATAGCCTCATCTATACGCTGCTTTCAAATACACAGCAACAGGTAACTTTACTCATATATTGCATAAATATGTGCACACTGGAAGATTTAATAACAGAAATCCTAACTAACTAAACGCACAAGCTTTAATAAAGAAGCAGAAAAACATCTCTTCTCACCTGCTATCGATCTCCTCTTGTTCACCTCGGAGATTCCCCCACTGGCTCGAGACAAAACAAAAAGGAAAAGTCAAAAATAAAATAAAATGTCTTACTGAAGTGTTTTCTTGTGTTGTGGTCTTGCGCTGATGCAGAGATAAAATCACCTGGTGCAGTAGTAGCGGATGGTTCAGCTGCTCTCCAACAGCTGGCTGCTGCAGCCCGCCTCTCGCTGTCATCTCTCCCCGCCTCCTCCGCCCGCCATTGGACACTCCTCCGCCCCCTTGCTCCTCCAGAAGCACCAGCCCTCAATGCAGACAGCGAGTTCACAGCAGAAGTTACACCTACTGTAAATACACACACTCCGGGTTTTATAATGCTGTAGATGAGATCCGCGTTGCAGAGCAGAGTAAACATTTGGTAAGATTGTGTCCCGATTAGCCTCTTTAAACAAAAAAAGGTTTAGAGAATAATAATGTAATCACTGGATGGTGAAGAGGTGACCACAAATATAAAAAAATATCTATGGCTATTTTGTTAGCATCTTTGGTCACTTTTAGCATCAATTTATGAACACACAGCTATATCCACATTTGTGCAGTTTTGCGAATATGTACACATTTAATTGTATTGTATTTTATTGTCATTGATGCATCCTTGCTTTTAACACTTTTTTTATTTATTTGTGTCTATTTTTATTATTGCATTGAGAGATGAAAAATAAATTATATTAATATCTTTATTGTCATCATACTATACGTTTGTACGATGACAATAAATATATTCTGATTCTGATTCTGAAAGTGGGCCCCAGTTGAAAGTACTGTTGTAGTGTGATAAGTGATTTGCTATGTCTTTGTTATATAGGCCTACTGTTTAAAGGAAAGGTGTAAAAATGTCTGCAAAACCACATAGGCCTACAGTAAAAAAAATTGTAAAGACATGCAAATGTAAATGTACAATTTTAAATACAACTGGCTGACAGGATTTAGGATTGGGGGGAAGCTCTTTTTCCTAATTTCCTAATTCAACAACGGTTTCTAAATTCAAGAGGACATTTTGTGTCTTTTAGGTGTTGGTGATTAAAGAATGGCCTATAGAATGAGACATAGTGTTTAGTGTCTGCAGATGAAAGTGAAAGGACCCAGGTTGAGGCTACGATCCTTGCCATGCTTGCTGTCATGTGAATGATGTGAAAAGACAGGCAATTAATGTAATTTTTATGCAACATAACCTTTTTTCTCGTTTTCTCCCCTGATTTATGACCTCTTAATTTAACAATCGGAAAGTCCCAGTTAAATTCGGGAATCAAAGCAGTTGATTGGCAACAGATTGTTCCAAAACACTTTCTGAATGGGAAGATTTAAGTTGGAGCACATTAATCAGAATCATAACCAGGTTTATTGTAGGTTTACACGTACGAGGAATTTAACACAGTTAGAGGACTAGACAAATATTAAAAATAATTACAAATATATAGTAAAATATAACAGTAAAATATAATTGCAATGGAATGAAATAGAGGAATAACATATGGAATAAAAGTCAGCTGTAATACAAAATAATGTTTACTGTGTGCATTAATGTAATGCATAGAATCTAGATCAATGGATCATAATGATATATTTTTTAAATGCAGAAAAAACATGTGTCCGTCAAAGTAGCCTATATCAGAGTGGCCTTCTGGCATAATAGACCTTCTACGAGGGAGGAACGTTCACATATATTGTCAAACAGTCACTCCAATAAAATGTCCTCAGGCAATTCACCAAATCCCTACAGATTATGTAGGTGACGTGTGTTTAGTCTCTCAGTTTCATCGGGTAAATAAACTGAACACAAATAAAGCTGTAAGCTGAAACTAATTATGTGATTTAGCCACCTCTGAACATACACTACTGGATGAGACTATAATTCATTACAACACCACCCCAAGTTACAGCCCCAATACAACCAAAAGTTAATTCAACAACTCTGATGTCTCAGCATACACTTAACATGAGCTTCAAAGGGGGGGAGCATAAGAGGCAAGGCTGCAATATTACAATGCACTATATCGTACAGGTTTGACTATTGTGTTTATACTTAACACAGGGCCTAACGAATGAACACAACTGTTGTACAGGCTACCACATTTCTGTTTGAGCGGTTTGTGCCCTAACTGATGCATAGTCCGCCTTGCTTTTATTATGTGTTTATTAGCTTTTCCTGTGTATGAATAAAGAAATGCAGTGGGGTCACAGTGTAAAGTCAAAAAAGGAGGAATAAAAAGCCCACCAAAGCTGAGACAGTTACACGCCAAGACATTATTGGAAAACAGACACACTGTCAGCTTAATAGATATATTAATAACTGCATCACTGCATGTGCTGCATTATTGACTATTTGTGGGATGCGACACAATGTGCTCCTAAAAATAATATAGCAACAAATGTGCTAATACAGATCATCTGTTTAAGTGTGGATAACAGCTCTCTCACACGCACAGGGAAAAAACACAGAGACACATGTAGAGCTATAACGTACGCGCAAACACACACACTTTCCCAAGAGGCTACCTAAACTGAGCATCATGATGCAATACTTAGCAACATCCCCGCAGACTGCTGCAGCCTTTACCTCCAGGATTCACCTGCGTGGGCCCCATCAATCCAACAGGGAATAGTGCCAACCCACATCTGTAAATACAGCAATAATTACCTGCAGTTTAGGGGAAATTATACCTTTCCTCAGTGTGCTGTTTACGCATGTATCTTCGTACATTTACTCTAAACAAGTGAGAGCTCCATCAAGCTGAAGGAAGGAATAACAACCAGTTACTTAAAATTAATAATACATACAAAAGCCCTTAAGCAGAGATGTGGAAAGGTGCCTTTGAGAACTTTTCGTGTCAAGTCCATTTTTTTTTTCATTTTCCTGAAACTTCTCACTTCTGCTTTCGACAAGATCAGCCACGGTCCTTTTAGAGCATGTGGTGAGGCTGTCGAATTCAGAAATAGCCTCCATGGTCAGTGTACATGTGTGAGAGCAATTGTTCACATTGTGTACCTTTATAGCTACAGTCTTATCTACATCTCAACAGAATAATGGCTACACCTTTACTACCCCCCCCCTTCGCTCCTCCACCAAACCCCAAACTTTAACAGAACAATAAGGCCTCTGTAACACAGGTCACAGACTTTAAGGTGTTTGCGGTCCAGCAGTGGTATGTGAAATGAAAATGGAGTTAATTTTAAATGTCAATTCTATGAATTCAGGCTGGACAAGTAACTTTCACAAGGTTGCAAAGTGAAAATAAAAGCAAAGGTGGCAGCTGTTTTTTTGTAAAATAAGTGGATGCAAGGGGAAAAAAGTGCATCCCCATGATAAATTGTGCTTGTTTCCGTGGCAACTGTTGAGAAGATAATTAGATTCAGAGAGTCCGAGGAGCTGCAGGGGGAATAAAAGGGGTATTCTGCAATGATGAGGGTCTGCTAAGGTGGCCCCTGCTGCTTCAAATTCCTCAAGAGTTAGCTGAAATGCACACCTGCCACGGTATCATCTTGCAGAGGAAAAACGTAAGGACTATCGGGACTTGGAGTCACATTTGATTTAGCTTTTTATGAAGTTAAGGTCAATTATTTGAGTGTTTGTATGAGCAGGCAATTAATTGGCCCTGTTGAAATGAGCTAATACATATTTTAATCACTTGGAGGTGACATCACATCATAAGAAGTAGGCTGGTCTATTAGCCCAGGAAATAAATGTACTATTGATATTTTATACATCTGTATTATGATCTGTTTTAATTGTTAGTGTGAAAGGCACTAGGAAATGTTTTAATGTTGTTGTTATGTGTGTAGCTGCAGGGATTGATGGAAATTAACTTTTGGCTATAATCTGGCATCTCTTCTTTTTGTCTTTTTGAGATCATTGTATTTTATGCACGGCCCTTGTTTAATAAATATATAATAATAAACATGTAGTCTAAGTTTTCAGGTCTGTTTTTCATTTGTAGTATGCCCTAAAAGTTAAAGCTTTAAGTATGCATTTCTCCACTTCTCACATTATAAAAAGGCACTTTAATTTGGTAAAAGTGTGTAGGGGGGACTGCACTGTTTAAATGCCCTTTGTTCTGTCACGGTGATTTTACTTTGGTCAGTGAGCTCTCCCTTTCCCAGCAGCGCGTCAACACATTGTTTCCGAGGATCCAAGAGAAAAAGTCCATTGTTGTTGCGAAGTTTCTAATCTGGGGATTTAAAGCACATCACATGCTCAGACTGAGCAGCGGGGCGCTCTACCACAACAGCAAACTACTGCAAAAATCCATGCTGCAGAGGGAACCATTCATCCCGAAAGGACCGAGAAATACTTTTTATTCGCACTGAAATGCCAGCGCACTTTTGGGGAGTTTAGGACGCCGGAGAAGTGTATTTAAAGTAGTCCGAAACTTTATTCTCTGGAAAAAGCGCCTGCATTTGAGGATAAAAGATGACGCTCCAGTACGGCCAGCGGTCCCTCATAGTTCTTTCTCTACTGGGGATTTTATCGGCCATCATGTCTGTTTTATCGGTCATTTTGATTTTCCAGCTTCAGTCTCAACAGGCGGCAGTGACGGAGTCTACCCCGTCCGCCTCCTGGTTGATCCCTGCTCCTATCTGGGCCGTCCTGCTGCCGGTGTCCACGGTGCTCTCCGCCCTGTCCCTCACCCTCCATCTGAGCTCGGTGGTGGTGTGTCTCCTCCACAGCTACTTTTCAACAGAGGTCTGCAGAGGAGAGCAGGACACTGAGAGGTATTTTAGCCATATAACACACCTCCTCTACCACAAAAAACCTGCTGAAGGCCCTGTCAGCAGCTTCACTCACTTGTTGTCGTGGTGATTATCCAAATGGTTCAGAAACAGATAGTTCCGGTCAGTTCTGAAAAGCACCTGTGATCGCTTTTCAGCTAACTGCAATATTAATACACACCGAAAAAAGTGACATTTATAGAATATCTGTGCACGTTTTTAGAAGAAATAACACAACTTGTATTTCTGTCACAAATACAAGTTGAATTTATAAGCAACTAACTCACCATTGCTCAACTCAGTTGGGTTGGTATTATGATTAGCTTTAGTGGGTAATGATAGCAAACATAGTGGTGTATTGGTCAACCAGGCTAGCTTCATTTTAGCATCAATAGTATCAGTAACTGTTAATGGAGGCCACAGTGGTGTTTAACAAATGTCAATTCATTTAACTTTAAGTACAATGAATGACCATGAAAATATGAACTCCCTGTGTTATGTAATCTGCTCAAATACAAAGACCCCATAATAACTCATATGGGTACACTTAGATTTCTAAATTGACACTATGCTAAAGAGATATTCATTCAACTGTACTCATTTTGTAAGGTTGTTGTTCATGGTGTATATGGTTGACCATACATATTTAAATGAAAGGCTACGTTTAGTAAAACGTTTAAACATAAGGTATAGCAAATCAAGGGTAAACAGAGTCCAGCATTAAATAAGAAACAATAATTCAATAGATGCATTAATCAAAAACATAATGCTTTAAGAAAGGTAACAATGATTAAAATGATAAAAGAAGCTTTTATTTCATCATACGTCTACTATTTGCTGTTATTTTATGTAGTGTTTACAACACTGCTTAAACAAACATTTAATCTCTTTTGTATGAGTTTCTTTCTCTGCCCACACACTTTTCTTTAATTAATCTCCGTAAAACCCAGCAGATTCTAGTCGACTACATTAAGTTTCATTAAAAGAAACACAGTTTCAGAAGTATAAAAGGGCCTTCCTTATGTGTCAGAGTGCAGAGGCCTGTGCTACAATGTTGTTGGCCGACCCCCACCTCTCAAACCCTCTGAGTCCCGTCTAAACAATGGCCTTCCTCTCATTATGCACCCAGCACACGGCTTCTGGCTGGCCCTTTCCCACGTCGCTTTATAAACCCAACATAACCCAGGACCTCCCTAACGACAGAGGGGACATTCCCCAGAAAAATGTGAATAATAATGAGCTTGTATAGCAACCAACCTAGATAATCAATAATCAAATATTATAGGACTTTTATATACATATATTTTAGGGGAGAAATAAAAAAAAGAGGAGAGAAGTTGGATGGTTTTGCACAAAATGCATTGAATTGTGTTAAAATAAAAGAGTTTAAAAAGGAAAATGTTGCTATAAATGGTCTTCATTTACGAGCTGATGATGAACATTGAACTTTTTTGTTTAAACAGAGCAGACTGGTTCCTTTTGGATAGCAGAGGTGTGCGACACGTGGCTATCGGACTCTTCTGCCTGGGGGTTTCTGTCTACTTGGCAGGTAACAATAAAAAGAGTGAAAAACAAGATGTTATTGTAGTTGTTTATTTTAAGGTTCCTTTTAAAAACATGGCAGTTTATATATTTAATCCTTAAATAAAGTTTACCTTGTAGCAGATTTTCCTTGTGTAAGTGAGTTTAGCTTTTATAAATTTGCATGCATGGGATATCCTATTTTTTGGCAACAAATTCACAAAGACTAAAAAAGTAGTGACCAAAACATTGGCTGTGCTATGGGTTTTCAACAGCAGGGGCAGAACCAGCACGGCTGCTTTCTTCTCTGGTTTGTCCACCGAGTCCACGAGAACAATGCATTCTTTGAGCAGCGTCCATGACTCAAGTGTTTTTAATGCTGAATCTGGCAGCGCTGTGGTGCCCTGTTCCACTGAGCGACTTGTACTGGGGGGGGTCACTGGAGGCAGCCACTCCATTGTGATGAGGAGGTGTCGGCCTTCTGACCCCACTTTCAGCCTCAATCAAAAGGTAGTGGAGCAAGAGACTGTAGATGCAACACACCCAACTCAGGAAGTCACGTCACATCCCAGAGTTGTGCTTCTCTCCCCCTTCCTTTAGCATGCCTGAGTCCATAGTCCTTTTCCTGGAGATAAACATAGAACAACTCTAAGAATAGCTAAACTTTATATGACATTTCAACAACATTCAATACATTTTCTTAAGCATCAAATTGCTGTGAAGTGGAGAAAGTAATGTGAAAATGAAGCCAAATTAAAAAGACTAGCAGCAGACCCAGATGCAGCTTAAAAGTTATTTTGTTTTAAATGATTTCACTCACAGATCAACATTGTTTGTGGTTATTAAATGTATCTGTTTTAAATAAATTCTCTATTTGTCTTCCATTTCAGCTATGTCCATCTTTATGCTCCTCATATTTCAAGTGGAGACAGGCATTGCGAGTGCTTGCGTTCTCTCATCGGGGATCCTAATCCTGCTGGTCGTTGTGATCCACTCTCTGGTGAAAGCTTCTCAGAGTGCCAAACACTATCACAGCGACCACCTCGGCACCCTCTACCAGAACGACCACAGAAGCAACATTGCACCCGTCTCCCGACCCTGCGAGCTTAAAATTGGTGTGGATAAACCGAGGATGCAACGCAGTCAGTCTCACCTCCAGCATCAGATCGCCTACCCTCAATGTGGCAACCCAAGGCAGCAACAGTACCAGCAGGAGCATCAGTACTCCCCTGCTGGGGGCTCCCAGGGCCACGCTAGTGATAAAGACGGCTACAGCAGCAGTAGCAATTGTCCCCGAATGCACAGGACCCTGTCTACTGAGTCAGGTCTACTTCAGGCCCAGGCTAAACCCTGGAATGGGGTCAACAATGAGATGAGGAGTGTCCTTGCACGCAAGTCAGGGATCACCGCAAAAGACTCTACTCTTGTTTGAAACAAAGGAAGCTGAGCTTGTGGTTAAAGACACTGATGACCTTTAAGCATCAAAAGGGGACTGCTAGCAAGAGTGTGAGTAACCCCTCGATTCCACCGGGTCCGGCTGCGCCGCGGTTTTGGTCCGGCCTCCTCCGGCGTCATACCCTACCGGTCGCGTTTCAGAAGCATTTCAGAAGCGGAGCGTCTTGCCTGCCGGCTCGCAGTTTTTGTTGATTTGGGCATATTTCCTGGACAGGCTACTTTGTACAGACAAAGTTAGTAATAATTGTAATATCCCAGTTATAAACGACATGAATCAAAGATGTTTTGCTGTATTTTAGTGGTAAAAAAATGCATTCATCATCATAATTATTCTATATATATAATTTACACAGTGCCTGTAAACCGGAGGAGAACGCTGGCATTTCTCCTCCTACTTGAAAGACTACGGAGGGATAGGGTCTGCAAATTAGTTTATTTGGGGGATGGGCCGGATGCTGTCACCGGTCCACTTCCTGCCCGCCGCCTCTGCAAACGCCTCGCGTCGAAAAATAGACTTGCATCCTATTTTGAGCGGAGCCCAGCGGCGAGACGCTTCTGGGACGCTTCTGAGCCGTAACACGGCGCGTCTGGTGGAATAGCACCCATTGACTAGAGTGGCCGCGATCCTTGCGGACGCCGCGGCGCAGCCGTAACGCGACGCAGACGGACCCGGTGGAATCTAGGGGTTAGATCTGTCAGTTTGTACCATTTGTCACTCAGAATGCTGATCCTGAACATATCGGACTCAGGTGGTAAAAACACATAACATGTTCATTTTTATCAACTGATTTCTCCTGTTCCGATTTTTAAGTATTTTTAACTTCACAAAAACTTTTTGAGCACACATTTTGTACAATGTGTAGTGCTTTATGTGAATGAGCTTGATTTAAATCTCATCATTGTTGCCCAAATATCAATCTGGCAAATGTATATCTTTCATTGTAATAATGTGAATACTTTATTCCACTGTATATGGTGGCCTTTGCCAAATATTTGTGCAGAGATGTTTCGTAATGCTTTGTTCAAAATTGTTTCATATCAACTATAAATTAAATGAATTTAGAGAAAAAGTGAGTGCTTGACACCCAAAATGAGATTAAAATATTGTGCACAAAAAAAACTTGTTGACTTTAAATGTTATTTAAATGCACATTTTAAACATTTCTAAAAAATAAAAAAAAGAAAAAGAAAATATGTAATATCATCCTGAATGTGATTACATCAAGTCTGGGGAAAATACTGACCTTGGACACCTCAGTCCAGAGATCATGAGGTAGTGGGCGGGGCATGTGGAGGGACATCATGTAAGCTGCATGCAGGTGTCAATGGGAAACAAAAAAACAAATAAAACAGAAAACAAAAATGAAAAAATGATGTTCCCATTAACTACAAAATAGTTCAGAACAGACCTGATGATTATTTTGCAGTTATTGGGAAATTAAATGGCAAGAACTGAACCAAAGTTGTATTAGCTGATGTTCCAAAAATACTAACTGTCATTATTATAGGATTATACAAAACAAAGGTAAAAAAGAATTTGCATGAACAAAAAAAAGGTGTGTTGTGGAGCAAAGACTGAATCAAAAGGGGATAAAACTCAAGAGTCACTTGTCAATTGTGTTAAAGATATAGGGAAATATGAAAGTACAGTGACTGACAAGAGTATCTTTGACACTTTTAAAAAGGTGTGGATGCTACAGCCAAAAAAGTTCTAAAATAATTATTATCTGACAATAACTATGTCAATGCCTATTTTTAGTTTGGAAAGATGAACATGTTTAACTGTTCCTTGTCCAAATGATTGAAGAAGTAAGCCTTGGTTTGTACCCCTACACTTCAGACATCAATGTATCTCAGTCGTCATGTTCACTGCTGCCTCCTACCTGCGTCCTTGAGAGTTGCTAATCTGTTCCTTCATGTTGATGGCCTGACGAAGGAGGCCGTCAATGTTTTTGAAATACAAGCTGCTGTTCGTCATGCTCTTTACAGCACTGCAAAAACATAGAGATCAATAAAAGTGTTAACAGTCAAGACAAGAAGTCTGCGAATATGTAGGTCTATGCTTCTCCTCACCTGCATGCATACTCTACACTGTAAATAGCTCCTTGACTCTGCTCCTCCCAGCTCTGCATGTCAGTCTGTGTGAAACATGATAACAAAATACCACCATCAAAATACAGGAAAAATATATAAGACTAGTTGGTACTGTCCAAATGGACAAAATCCCTGATGGCACAAATCCAGGACTGGAGAGCCGAGTTCCCTACATCCAACTGATGCATTGTTTAGGAAGGTAGGCAATGAATTATAGTATTACAGGTGGGAGGAAGTGAAGGTGTGGATAAGTTGTTCTACAATTTTTGGGGAGATTTTTGGTTTGACTTAGGCAATATTTGTGTAACATACAAAAACTACTCCCAACCAACAGGCAGAATTCAATGTTACCACAGTGTTAAATGTCTGATTTAAATAACAATGGTCTTTAATTAAATAGCAGACATACAGATAATGTCATAAGAGAACAGACGGAACACATTAGGGGACTGTGCTGTTTGCTGTGTTTCATAAGTCCATATGAAATAATAATAATAATAATAATAACATTTACATTTTTTGTTTCTTGATATAACAATATTTCTTCTTCCTAAATATACTTGAACACAAGAATTCTTTTTAAAATATATTTGTGTTGACTTTAACTTTAATGTGGTAGCTGTTAAACATGTATTTTGCTTTCTCCAACAGTATAACAAAGCAGGTTGTTTACCTTGTGTTGCACCAGCTCGGGCAGGGACCTTCTGACGTGCTCCTGCAGTCTGTACAGAGCCACTGACGGCTCGTTAGCTAGCACGTACATGCTCTCCGTGAATTTATCACTAACTGCAGAGTCAAAAAAATATATAGACAAAAGCAGAGAATTCGGGACATAGGTTAGAAAAAGAGGAAAACATTCAACAGCACGGGACATGGACAAATAGGCGATGTACAACACTTGCATAGCATTAGCTTAACAGCTAATTTGAGCTAACAACTGCTGGCTTAGTTACAGCGTTTACAAGGTAACAATGATGTAGGTTTATTTAATTAATATTTACCTCGTCTCACTTTCAGTTGCATCTCCTGGTCCTCCATAATGCACGTAGTTAGACACAACAAAATGCAGATGTATGTCAGCTGATTCTCGCTTCTTCCGTATTTTTGTTGTCATGTGTCTCACGACAATCTTCCGGACAGAAACATCGATCATCAAAAGTCAGTTCTTCCTTCAAATAGCACAAACGGCAGGGATACGGAACACGATAAGATTCAAACCTTAATTCATTGTAAACTACGATTGTTTAACTAGTTAATCAACTGAGCGAAAACATATATATCTCGGTACACTTCAATGGTCAGAAAGACCCATCGTGCGACTGGAGATTATTCACTTTCAGTTTTCACAAAAGGAAGTTAGCGCGCATTAGACTGAGCCTCGATGTGGTGAGTGGACGGGGACATTTGCTTTACAAAGTGATTTTTGCTAGTTTTTCTTTTCTTGAGAGCAGTGCAAAAATGTTTGGGTAGTTCATGATTTGTTTTTATTGCAGTGATCATGGAGGGCAAAGGTGATGAAGAGGTTGCAGATGGCCAACATATTCGGTCATCAAACGCTAATGTCTCTCCTCCCGAGTCAACAGATGAGAGGTCCAATGGTATGTGTGTGTATTTGTATCTTTTAGTTTAGGTTTCCTATCTGTGGTGACTTTCTTGATACATTTCTGTATAGCATCTGTCCCCTGACGTTTGTAGTCTTAAAAATAATGAATAGCAGTGACACAGACATGACTGTAGTTGATCTGCTTGGGCCAGTTTCTCCAGAAATCATGGATGTGGATGAAGAGTCCATACATCCCACCACTCTGACTAACAAGCAGCGTGGGAATGAGGTTACAGTCCGCCCTGCAACATTGGACTGTAAGTAGGATGCTTGTTGGGCAAAGTGCTTATACAATTTGTTGGAATCATGGTATTTGTATTGTCTTAAGCAGATTAAGTTATTCATATTTTATTCCCCTCAGCTCTGTCTATACATCAGTTGGCAGCTCAAGGCGAGGTTTCACAGGTGGCTGCACACCTGAGTAAAGGTGAGGAATCTGGCTGTCACTAAGCAGTTATAAATCATGTTTATTTTTGCCTGCCAGTAAGTTGTACAAAGATTCCCACTGATCGGCAGTGACTGGTTTTTATTTTGCAGACAGTTCACTGCTAAGTCAACAGGATGAACGGGGCTTCACGCCTCTTATGTGGGCAGCAGCGTTTGGAGAGAAAGCTGTGGTGGATTTCCTATTGGAAAAGGTTAGAAGTAAGCGACTGCTGTCCATAAAGACGTGCACATATTATTAAGACCAAATGCATAATTTTACCTTGTGTTTTGGGGAATTTTTGTTCTAGGGTGCAGACCCCAAAATCATTGCGAGGGAGCGAGAGAGCACCCTGACCCTGGCCAGCTCCGGGGGTTACGTGGACATTGTGGAGTCTCTTCTCAGACATGGAGTAGACATTGACACATTTGACTGGGTACATCATCCCTTTCTTTATGTCTGGCATTTCATCACAAGTCCACAAGATGTATGTCTTATGGCAAGCAACACACATGATGGACACAACATATTTAAAGGAAAATATAACTAGAATGGGATAGTTTATCTTTTTAATGAATTCTTGTTTTTTTTTAACAGAATGGGGGAACTCCTCTACTTTATGCTGTGCGAGGGAACCACATCAAATGTGTAGAGTCACTCCTAGGTACATTGCATGTTTATTATGTAGAGCCATGATTGTGGAAATGTCTGTTTGAATGCGTAATAATTGCCCTTACTCTCTTTTTAAGCCAAAGGCGCAGACATGACCATCGAGTCTGACTCTGGGTACAGTCCAATGGCCTTAGCTGTTGCCCTTGGACACACAAAGAGTATGTATTGTATTTTTAAATCTAACAAATATTTTATTTTTTAAAGGTTTACGTTTTTTAAAGGTTAACGTAAAAAATGTTTTATTTTGTTTTCTAGTTCAGAAAGTGTTGGAGGACCATATTCTGAAGCTGTACACACCACCTACATGACAAGAATAAAAAAACGGTCGGACGCTGTTTATATCAG